GACATGTGGTACATATCCTCCGCACAATCTAACCACAACTCGTTTGACTTCATTTGAGCACTACCTGCATAATGTCAAATGGCATAGTCCAAGTCCTACTACTTAGGTTAAGCTCTCAATCCATGCCTAGCTGCATAATGTGATAGCTCAAACGCACTGTTCAAACTAAGAGACCAGAGTTGCTCATCGAGAAATCCTTGCTGCTCCAAGACATATCAGCGTTCAGTACTTAAAAGCTCTAGTTTGGTTTTAGTAAATTGATGAAATCTTAAGTTCTAACCCTTTGCTTTAAGTGATTATGAGATAGGTTAGCACTAATCCAAGTGGTGGAGTAAGTGAATGATGATCATGAAGATGGTGAGGTCATGGTGATGATCAAGTGCTTAAGGCTTGGAAAAGAAGAAAGAGAAAAATAAAATGGGCTCAAGGCAAAGGTATATTGGATAGGGCTATTTTGTTTTGGTGATCGAGACACTTATAGAGTGTGATCACATTTAGGATAGATAATTGTACTATTAAGAGAGGTGAAACTCGTCGTGAAATACGGTTATCAAAGTGCCACTAGATGTTCTAACTCATTAAATATGCATTTAGATTCTAGTGAGTGCTAACACCCTTTAAAATATTTGTGAAAAGCTGCTAACACACATGCACAAGGTGATACACTTGGTGGTTAGCACATTTGAGCAAGAGTGAAGAAGTTTGAGAAGTGGAGGATCTGTCCCGAGGTGATTGGGCGATGCTTTGACAGCGACCAGACTCAGGCAGCTACGACTAGTCAGTTACTCACAGTGAAGAGCGCTCTCGGTCCTAGGACCGGACGCTGACAAAGAGGAAGGACCGGACGCGCAGGGTACGTCCGGTCGTAGGTGACGTATGCTGATGTAATGGCACTGGGGTTGGTGCGCAGAGCCAGAGAGGATCGGACGCACCAGCGCGTCCGGTCATGCGTGAATGGACGTGTCCGGTCGTCAAAAATCTTGTCTGCATGCTTTCTAGAGTCGACCGACTGCGCGTGGTGCGCGTCGGAGCACGTCCGGTGGCTTTAGCGCGTAACATCGGTCTTTAGCGTGTGCATTGGCGAAGCGCGGCGTGATCGATCGAACCGCGGAGGTGACGCCCTGGTCGCTCCTTGCCACATCCGTTGCATCATAAACATTGGCGCATGACTGAGTTGACCATTGGAATCGAGCGATCGACGTTGAACGCGGGGGACACGTGGACGGCAAATTCACTTATTACTCTTGATAGCCGACTAGGCGGCTTGGTGGCTGCGTCGTTCACCTTGAGGAAGGTGCGTTCTTCGCCGCCGATCAAACCAAGAGCCAAAAGGTGAGGGAGCCAATGGCTCTATTTGTTGAGGCTCCCTATATAAAAGTGGTAACCGTCTTGGGCTCACCCTGTTGGCTATTTCTATTGAGAATACATCCTAGTGAGCCTAGCCATTCCTCTCTCACTCATCTAGATTGATTGATTCATCGTTTGGTGAGATTGGAGAGCATCCAAGTGTATTGCTTTGAGTGATTGCATCTAGAGGCACTTGGTGATTGTGTTTCGCTGTAAATTTCACTTGTTATTCTTGATGGTTGCCGCCACCTCAGACGGCTTGGTGCGCAATTGAGGATCAAACTTGGTATTCAAAACTTTTCGTCATTTAGAGTTCATAATACTGAGGAAGGTGATTGTCTTGGGCTCCAATCATGGTGATTACCAAGTTTGAGGGTTCTTGACCTTTCTCCATTTGGAGAGCCAAAAGGTACTCTAGTGGATTGCTTTCGTCACAGCTTGTGGATCCTCATCTTGTGTTGGTTGTAGCTTAATGAGATGAACCAAAACTTTTCAATTTGAGACAATTAGGCGAAAACTGTGATGCCTATTTGAAGCGTGAACTATCTCAAATGGGGTGAATCGCTAGACAATGAGGTATTCAAAACTTTTCAATTTGAAGTCATTTAGAGTTCATAATACTAGAGCAAAGTGTTGTCATTTGACCAAATTTGACTTGGTTAAACTTGCTCAAATGAAGACACTAAAAGTAAAAAACTCTAAATACCAAGTTTGGGATAAATCATTGTGTCATCATTGTCTCTAGGATTCTCATTGTGATTGATTGTATATCTCTTGCCACGGTGGTATAAACCTCACTAGCTCTCTTGTATTTACTTTCTTAGTGTACATATGCTCTTTAGTATAACTAGTTTTGAGAGCTAGCTTGTGTCTTGTTAGTTTAGTTAGTGAGGCTCTTTAGTTAGTCTTTGAGAGCTCACTAACTTAGAGAGTAGTGACCTAGCCATTGTGTGAATTAGAGATCATAATCACTAGAGTTATGGATAGGTGGCTTGCATTCTTAGTAAGCTAACGCAACACTTGTTTCGCTTTATAATTATCTAATCACTTGGTCTAAGTGTTGTCTCTAGCCATTAGCCATTAGGACATTTCAGTACTTCTATTACCAAGGAGACGAAGTCTTCCGGCAATGTCACTATGCAAACCCGCTTCCTGATCGTCCTAGCCTCAATGAGACAACGCCACCTTTCCTGCTACTTTCCTCTGACAAGAAGGCAGTCAAGTCGACCTCAAACCGGTCTTGGGCTTGTTCAGGCACCGAATGCGGCGCCGGGGGGATCGGCTAACACGGTGCATTTGTGTCTTTGCCTTTTGTTTTGCTAATTGGGCCAACAATCTATCATGGGCCTGTACTGACCGAACTTCGCATCCAATTCCTGGGGGCTCCGACGATGCCTAAACGCTTCAAATCTCCTGAACAAAGATTGTTGAGAAGACAAGAATGTTATGAACCTCCACTACCAAATGTACAGGAGCATTTGATACAAATTGGGGAAAATTAGAGGGAATCTAGATAGGGAAAGCAGGTATGAGAGGGAGGTCAAGCAAGAACAGCAGGAAAGGACTCTAGACTGGAGGTGGAAGACGACTCGACAGGTTCTGTTCGATAACTGTCCACGATGGCTGCTCGATGTCTTATTTCTCTCGTTCTGTCCCGACGATGGCAGCTTGGAAGCCCAACCAATGGCCCAGCTTGGAAGCCTGTTTCTGGCCCATCCGACGGCCCAGTCCGTGACAAAGAGTAAGTAAACCATGAGCACGAATGACAGCATGTCACTGGTGGAACCAGGCCCCCCCAAACACACACACCAAGCACAGTGAATTTTTTAAATACCTATAAAAATTCAATTGCATAGGTAAAAAATTATTATTTCATTCTTTTTTGACGATAAATATTGTGTTTATCATTATGAGTAGTAAATATATATGTAAAAACGTTGAAAAGCTGTTGAGATGTACATTTATTGTACATATTTATCAATGTTTACGAGATGCCATTGTATTGTCCGGCCCCCCTTATCAAAAGTTCTGGTTCCACCACTGCATGCTGTTAGTATGATTGAAATGTCTACCTGGATACTTCCTCCCAGAGTCCTACCTTCCCGAGCGCGTTGGCGAACCTGTAGGTCTCGTCCATGCTCTCTTATGTTGTAGAACAGCTGCGTCTCTTCATCGCTGAAGGGTTTTGGTGAGGAGCTCTGCGCTGCCCAAGGTCCATTTCGAGCTGAAGAGACTTGGTGCGTAGTAATAGCAAAATGATAAAAAACTTCGACACCAGGCAGAGGGCACGCGTGTCAGTTACTAAACGTGCAAGTGAGAGTCTCAACTGGTTTTACCATGAGCTCCTAAGTTTTAGAACATGTCTATAATCTGGACACGGAAAGTGTTTGCTGCAGTTTCTGCCATAAAGCCTTCAAATAATAATATTGATTAGCACGGCGTTCTCACCTTGCCTGGAATATTTTTAAGAAGGCTTTTCAAAAGGTGCCTTCAGATTTCAGTACACCCTCAAATGCTACTGAAGGCACCTCTGAGAAACACATTCAAACTATGTCATCAAGGCAGAGTTGGCTAGCAGTATAAAAATCAACCGTGCAATCAGATCCGAAACATTGAAATAATGCACCGTTCAATTTCAATGTTTGCAAACAAGCACAATCGAATCCTCTTTTTCTGCTTTTGTCTTTGGTTTGATCTGTTTGGTGTTTCTACGGTGGCTGTAAGGTGGCAAACCTATGCAGAAATGCTGTGATGTAAGCTGGCTGACCCCACAGTCCACAGCATGAAACATTTTAAGCTTTCAACAAAAGATAGCTAATAACTAAATTGGTCTTTGGTCTAATCGAACACAGCTGTGATACTCTGTTTATATAAATACTTAAACACTATTCTGAAATGGCATTCTTCCTCTAATTTAATATAGTGATTTACTGATTTATACTCATGCCGAGCTTCTCTCGAAGAGAGAGAACAAGTGCGGCGAGCAAGCACGCATGACGCGTCGCGGCACCATTTGCCATTTTCCTCCTCTAGGTAGTAGTAATGCAGGCATGACGCGGCGCCATTTCCGCCTTAGTTGAGGTAGAATATTATACACAGATGTCGCGGTAGAGTAAATACAGCTTTGTTAACCGGCACGATTTCACGCAATAACCTGTTGGAAATCTGAACTGACAATAAGCCCCACTGGCAACAAAACTGATAGGAGAGACGACACAACACATACAAGCAGGTTGCCTTGCCTAGATATCCCCCAGAACCAGAGACGTTGCAAGTCCCGTTACTTCATGTGACAAAACAACAGCACTGCATCACACAGCATAATTGGTTGTGACTATGATTTTTTTTAATTACATATACAAGCTCTATGTATTCGCCTCATAGCTGATTCATCAATTCAACAAAGGCCCTGTTCGCTTGTCTTATGAGCCGTACTATTTCAGCGAATGAACAATGTTTTTCTCTCACAAGAAATCAACGAACGATACTTTTAGCCATAGCTTTTTAGCAAATCGAACAGGCCAAAGACCTGAAAGCAGACACAAGGGCCAGCGTGCATCTTGTATGTAATCGAACTGTTCAACAAGCATAGGTACAACCGTACAGGTACAATACAAGGTGCAGAGCATCCGGATCTCAACGTCGCACGCACCTCACTTGGCCGCCTTCCCCAGCGCCGCCTCGAGCCGCTTGCAGTCGACGATGTAGGCGAACCCGTAGGCCATGTTGGCGAGCGTGGCTTCCTGCAACTCCTGGGTGGCCGTGGCCGTGGCGTCGGCGGAGAAGAACACGCGGAACCCCCTCACGAAGGCGTCCCGCGCGGTGGTCTCGCAGCACAGGTTGGTCATGACGCCCGCCACGATCACCTCCTCGGCGCCCGCCCGCCGCAGCGTCTCCTCCAGCCCCGTGCCCGCGAAGGCGCTGTACGTGCTCTTCTCCACCACGAGGTCCCCCGGGGCCCTGCCGGCCCCCGGGAGCAGCTCGGCCGCGGGCGTGCCGGCGTCGATGCGGTCGCCGGGCCACCACTCGCCGAGCGGGGGGGCGCGGCGCGGGGCCGTGTCGACGTGGCGGGTGTACACGACGGGCACGCCCGCGGCGCGGCACAGCGCGACGGTGGACGCGATGGACGGCATGATCGGGGCCGCCAGCGACGCGAAGTGGCCCTGCACGTCGATCACGAGGAGCGCGGCCGCGCGGGGGTCCGGGTCTCGGCGGCGCGTCTCGTACTTGGTGTACGTGGTGGCGGGAGGCGGCATGGTGATTGAACGGCGGGCGGTGGCGCTACGTGCGCGGATCGGATGAGGCCGAAGGCCAACTGGCAACTGCGGAGAGCAGAGTGCAGAGAGGGAACTGGCTGTCTGGCTCCACGCAGACTAACGCTCGGGAATCGATATCAGCTGGCTTCAATAGTGGGCTAATGTGTCACCCAGACAGAGCCCATGGCCCAATGCGAGTTAGAGGACCCGTCCTCATCTCTACACAGCAGGACTAGGTAACATGAACACAATCAGAGAGAAGGGAGCAAATCTTCCTCCGGAAATCCCCTTTGTCCGATTATCCCTATAATATAATTGCTCACTCCGTCCTGATTGATCACACTCGTGGCCATGACAGGACCAGGAGATAGATCTCGACGGAAACGGGAGAGGTTGGGTGCGTGTTGATTGGAGCTACGGTGGTTGGTGACGAAACGCAGATAGATGGCTTCAGAGACATCCAGGCGCTCATAACCTCGGCAGTAACCGGTTTGTTATGAGAGAGAAACACCGTTCATCTGCTGATGAATATATTTGAAACGTTTACTCAACATCGCCCAAATCGCTGATAGATAGCTTCGGAGACATCCAGGCGCGACACCCAAGCTAAGCAGTAGCCGCGGTATGAGATGAGATGCCCCGTTCATCTGCTCATGAATATATGTCTGCCACGTTTACTCATGCTATATCTTATATCGCACATTTTTCATGCTCAGTAAGCTTTGGCCATGATTCATGTACTTACCCAAAATACCACAATAATTTCAAACTCATATCTCATACTGGATTTGAATATTTTTAATCTTTTATGAAAATCAGTCGTCTAAGGCCACTACAAGAACCATTGTGAAAGGATTCAATTTCCTTTTTTTTAGCTTAAGCATTCAATCTCCTTACAGCTCCTCCAGCACTAGCCGCAACGGATCTACGCCACTCGCACGAGATTGGGAACCTAAGAAGAAACAGTACGGTATAAGAGCATCTTCAATAGTTTAAAAGAAAAGTATATTAATAAACTTTTTAAGTTGCTAAAAAATAGAGAGCATATATGTTGGTTTTCTCCAACCATTTCTAATATATAGCTTCTAATAAAAAAATAAAAATCATTCTCACGTGAAGGTTTCTTAGCGATAGCTCGATTTTGTTCACGCATAAATCCCGCCTGCTGCCGCCACCGGCCACCCCTTAGTCACGCCCTAGCCAGCCACAGCCACAGTCAGCCTGCAACCGGCCATGGCCAGCCGCCGCCAGATAGGGATAGGTAGGCCAGCTGCAGCCAAGCCATGGGTAGGGACGGCTAGAGGCCTCCAGGCATGGTTAGGGCATTGCTAGGAAGACGCTAGGGCAAAGAGGTGGGTGATAGCTGACCAATTTTACCTCTTTCCTAGGATGGTGGAGGAAGTGAACAACTTCTATAAATGATCGTAGGTTTTTTTAGAATTACACCGTACAACGCAGACGCCCAGAACACGCACGCACACTAACCCATATGAATACACGTACGCAAACCCTATTCCTATGAGCACCTCCGAAGGACTGAGCCGGCAGATCTCGAGATTCACGAAATCCTAGTGCATAGAAGGGGCAACGACAAATATATGGAGGAACTTCTTTCTTTAGCATTAGAAGTAAAAGAAAAAACAGGAGAAGTTGCCAACGCGGATTGGAAGTCACTCCCATGGTGTATCTTTCTGTGTGTGTCGATCGATTTTCTCGAGTGTGAAAAAATTCTCGAGATTGAAGAAGCGTGGAAAGATTGGGAGTAACTTGTATTATATATAAACCCAAATTGTAACCCTACAATCTACTTACATACTACCTTCGTTTTCTTTTATAAGGTGCACAAGTATATCTATATCTATACCTAATAATAAAGAGGTAAATTTTCTGGCCATTTTTTTGTCTATCCATTTTTTGTCCATCTCCTTCTAACTACCGAACAATGGAGATTTCTTCCGTTCGGACTTCTATATATAACCTGTGCTCATACGAGTTAGAATAGCTCTGCGATACGGAGTCTGGTTCCAAAATGTATTCAGTCGTGTATGTGACCTGGATATAGATATGCCTGGATTGGACACCTGGATAGCTACGAACCATATTCCAAATATAGGTCCCTTTGATTTTGAGTAAGCTAAATAGAAATCCTAATTCAAATATAAATAGAAATAGAAAAAAATAGTAGTAGTATAAATTTTATTATGGTATTAAATCACAAAGAGTTCTGGTCCTTTTCTATTTATTTATCCTATATGTGTTATGGAGAGTCCGTTTTGTACTTTCATGACCGTTGGTCATTTTTTGTCCGACTCATTTAGTTTCTTTTCTTCTCTGTGTTAGTTTTCTTTTCTTTATTGGACATTTTTCTTTTTATTCTCAAGTTGGCTCCGGCACATTAGCCATGTCCGTTTCTTTCATTGCGCTTTCACTTTTAACATTTATATCTTTTCTATTCATCACGTTCCAATAAATAAATATGGAAAACAAAGAATAAAGAAAGACCTTTGAACCTTTATTTTTTCCTAAAAAATAAAAGTTTTCATCGTCAAGTTATTGATGCAGTTTTGATTAAGAACAAACCTTATCTTATAAGAACTTAGTTGAACTGATGATCTAATTAGTCAAATGCGAACTAATATCTTGAGGTGTTTGAGTTTCCTTTTCTTTATTGGTCATTTTTCCTTTTTTCTCGAGTTGGCTCCGGCACATTGGCCCTGTCCATTTCTTTTGTTGCACTTTCACTTTTAACCTTTATATCTTTTCTATTCATCATGTTCCAATAAATAAATATGGAAAACAAAGAATAAAGAAAGGCCTTTGAACCTTTATTTTTTCCTAAAACTAAAAGTTTTCATCGTCAAGTTATTGATGCAGTTTTGATTTAGAACAAAACTTATCTTATAAGAACTTGGTTGAACTGATGGTCTAACTAATCAAATGTGAACTAATATCTTGAGGTGTTTGTGGTTAGTTCGGTCTAAATAAATTTGTCTCGACTATATGCACACACCAGTGTAACACCTGACGAGTCCCGCAACATGGAAATTAGAGAGAGGTCACCTGTCATAATTATCGGTGAGCAGACCAGTACATGACATATCGACAACTAACTTCTTGTCGACTTGAACTAAAGATCCTCAACGAAAGTCACGAAACTTGATATTTAATTGTAACAAAGCATACATAGTATAAAATTGAAGTTATGGTATATTTATAGCTTCTAAACTTATAAAGGGATATACACACACATAATTTATGTTATCGTTTTCCATTACAATTTGATAACTTATTTTCTCCCGTTGCAACGCACGGGCATATTTGCTAGTCAAGATTCAAACTCCAAAATCTTTGATCAATAATTTAACTAATAATTTTTAATTATTATAACACAAACTTGATATGGTTAGATTTGTAATTAAATCTACTATCCAGATATCATAAGTTTATAAATGTAAATAAAATAAATATATGGTCAAAGTGTAATTTTGAAGACCGTGCCATTTGAGTTTTGCCTTATAAAAGAGAGCGGAGGGAGTATTATATAAAAGATGACAAAAATGCTCCCTGAAGTTTACTAGAAATTAGCCACCATTGCCATCACCTACCCAAACAGGTAAAAGCATTTTTATATATTAATAACATTCAAAGGCAGAAATCCAGCCCCACAATTTAGGATCCAAAAAGCTCCCATCAACCATGATCTAACAACAAAATTCATAAGCTTGAAGAAGTCACCACGCCACAGGTGTCTCGATGCCACTGAAAAAATAATGCCATAAAATTCTAAAATAAATTCAAAAAAATATAAACACCCGTGTCAAATTAAGAACTTAAACTTAGATGACAATGTTTTACAAAAAAAATGAACCAGCTGCTCATATCGTTTTACGATGTAGCTGTAATCTGAGTGGATCCAAATAGAGCACATTAATTTATGGAGACCTATCAGTTTTCCTAGCGTCTCTATCATGGATTGAGCGGCGTATTGTGCTCTCCTTCCTCCAAATAGTTAGGTGATGACCAGTGATGGTTGTACTTACTGATTTGGTGATGACGTGATGCAGGCTCCCGGGCAACTCTGCTTCGGCTTAGGCGCTTCCGGTGCGTAAAGTTTTAGGGTGTCGCATTAGGTGTTCGGATACTAATAAAAAAATAAATTATAGAATTCATCAGTAAACTGCGAGACGAATTTATTAAACCTAATTAACCGTCATTAGCGCATATGTACTGTAGCACTTTATTATCAAATTATGAGTTAATTAGACTTAAAAGATTCGTGTCGCAAAACAGTCAATTAGTTATTTTTACGATGAATGATGAGGCGGCACCCTCGCTCCCTTTCTTTATTTCATTTCATTTTCTCTTTTTATTTTATGATGAATGATGAGGCGGCCACCTCGATTCTGATCTGCTGAGAAGCAGAGTACGGAACTACAGATTTTTAGCAGGAGATAGCTTTAAAAAATGCCGACGGCCCCGCACATACCAGCCTTGTCACGCTCCTTCTCGGTTCTCACCATCGCGCAGCCTCCTCTCGGCTCTTTGGCCACTGTCGGCGCGAAGGTGATGTACGTGATGGAGGAGGGGTTCGTGGTCCTCGTGGAGGTGGACATGAACGCCGGAGACGAGCCGGCTGCTTTCCCCACCGTAAGAGCCACCGTCGTGCAGGCCTCCAGCGTCTTCTTCGACACCCCGGCCACGATCGGTACGTGCCAATTCGGTGCTTCTCAATGAGCTTTCACTCTACAGGAACGTTACCGCAGAAACTTTTGCGTGCGCGTCTGTGGCTCTGTGCCAGTAAGGTTGCTTGGCCTAATTTCTTCTTCGTTTGGACCTAGAAAGAGGATTTGATCTCTGAAGAGAGCCAGGCTACTACTACTGCTACTTAACCTGTTTTTATCTTCAGAGAAAGCGAAGAACCTGATAGCAGAGGCTGCCGAGCAGGGCGCGCAGCTGGTGGTGTTCCCGGAAGTCTTCGTCGGCGGTTTCCCCCGTGGCAGCGACTTCGGAGTCACCATCGGCGCCCCCCCGCAGGCAAAAGGGAGGAAGGGGAAGGACCTCTTCTGCAAGTACTACGCCGGAGGCATGGTGATTGAACGGTGGGCGGTGGCGCTACGTGCGTGGATCGGATGAGGCCGAAGGCCAACTGGCAACTGCGGAGAGCAGAGTGCAGAGAGGGAACTGGCTGTCTGGCTCCACGCAGACTAACGCTCGGGAATCGATATCAGCTGGCTTCAATAGTGGGCTAATGTGTCACCCATGCAGAGCCCATGGCCCAATGCGAGTTAGAGGACCCGTCCTCATCTCTACACAGGAGTAGTAACATGAACACAATCAGAGAGAAGGGAGCAAATCTTCCTCCGGAAATCCCCTTTGTCCGATTATCCCTATAATATAATTGCTCACTCCGTCCGGATTGATCTCACTGGTGTCCATGACAGGACCAGGAGATAGATCTCGACGGAAACGGGAGAGGTTGGATGCGTGTTGATTGGAGCTACGGTGGCAGGTGACGAAACCAGATAGATGGCTTCGGAGACATCCAGGCGCGACACGCAAGCTAAGCAGTAACCGCGGTATGAGATGAGATGCCCCGTTCATCTGCTCATGAATATATTTCTGCCACGTTTACTCGTGCTATCTCCCCTGTTCGCTTGGCTTATAAGCCGCACTTTTTCAATTAACGAATATTTTTTTTTCACAACAAATCAATTAATAGTACTTTCAGCCATGGCTTATCAGCCAAGACTTATCAGCCAAGCGAACAGGGCATATATCTTATATAGAACATTTTCATGCTCAGTAAGCTTTGGCCATGATTCATGTACTTACCCAAAATACCACAATAATTTCAAACTCATATCTCATACTGGATTTGAATATTTTTAATCTTTTATGAAAATAAGTCGTCGAAGGCCACTACAAGAACCATTGTGAAAGGATTCAATTTCCTTTTTTTAGCTTAAGCATTCCTCCTTACAGCTCCTCAGCACTCGGCGCAACGGATCTACGCCACTCGCACGAGATTGGAAACTGTCGGGGACTAATACTAGGATACTCGAAGAGGAGGAGTTAATAACCATCAACATTGATTCATCTGAGCAGTCAAGAGCGCGACTACAGCTCCAACCGACTCCCAGGTGCGCAAGCTCCGCCTCGCCCGACCTCAGAGGGCGGGCTCCGCCTCGCCTGACACCGAGGCCGCGGGCTTCGCCTCGTCTGACCTCTGAGGGCTGGCTCCGCCTCGCTCGACCCTTGGGTTAGCGCTCCGCCTCGCCCGACCTCTGAGGGCGGGTTCCGCCTCGCCCGACCCTTGGGTTAGCGCTCCGCCTCGTCCGACACCGAGGCCGCGACCTCTGAGGGCTAGCTCTGCCTCGCCCGACCCTTGGGTGTGCACTCTGCCTCGCCCGACCTCTGAGGGTGGACTCCGCATCGACCGACAAAGACCCATACTGCCACCAACCACTTCAGGTCGAAGCGAATGGGCCTGGGTCAAAGCTCTGACACCAGGGAGGTGACCCGCACGCCCCGATATAACCCATGGCCGTGACGGGCCGTACCTGGGGATTCACATCAGGAACAACGTCGGGCGTACCGGTGCTGTTCTGCCTAACTCTCGTACGAGCACTGACAGGCGCGTCAGTTCACCACGACGTCCGCCAGGATGGAGTGGAGCGCCACGACCGGGAGATGACGCCTGCACATGGCGCCAATGATGGACAGGGCCACGACGTGGAGCTGTCCCTATTGACGTCTACGGGGTCGGCGGGACCCACGTGAAGGAAAAGAAGGACCCGGCGATCCCGGAGGACTTCTTTTCCTTCTCATCATCCTCTTTTCTCTCCACTGTAACCCGTGCTTTCCCTTGGTCTATAAAAGGGAAAGCAGGACATCCCATAGGGGGCATCGAAAGGCATCGCAACACATCACATCAATTCGGACTGGAATCCATCGAAACCCCAAACCGATCAGAACACACAAGCACATAGCCGGGAAGCGACCGAGCTCTCGGCACCCTTTCGCTCCTCTCATCAGAGACTTGGGACCCATCTCTCTCTCGACTGTTTGTAACCTCTACTATGGACTTTCAGTGCTAGTAACACGAGCAGCCTCTTAGCACACCATTCGAGCCAGACGCGCAATATGAGAAATTTACTAGTTGGGGGCAATTCGAAACACCGACAGTTGGCGTACCAGGTAGGGGCCTTTTGCGTGTCTCGACATCCACACCAGGCCTCGGATGGTTAGTCACAACCTCAGCTGGGTCCCAGGCGTGCACGTGCGCTTTGGGGACCTGGACTTCATGGTCACGACGGAGGGAGAATTAGCGACGGCTCCCGCCGCCGTTCGACCTCTCCACTTCATCGTCATGTGCGCTTGAGGAGCTGCAGCTGCACGCACCGGAGGCCCACGCCCTCGAAAGCGACCAGCTCCTCAACTTCGACTACGGGAGGTTAGAGCGCCAGTTTGGCGCCTTCCTAGGACCCCGACTATCCCGGGAGGACCTGCGCCACCTCACCTTCTCATTCGCCAATGTCATGGTGCAACTTGCCGGAGGGGAGCCGCTCTCTCCAGAATACCTCATCCGGAGCGCCCCGACAGCGCTCCTGTTTAGTCTCCGCAACGCCGCAGAGACCGATGGCCAACCTATGGCGCAGCGCACGCCTCCATCCCCCACGAATGACGAGTTTGTAGGGATGACCGAATATGCCACGGAGTCTTTCCACGACCTCCTCACGGGAGAATCGGAGTCACCCTCCAGCTCTGGCTCTAATAGGGGGAGCCATCACCCCTCTCGTGAGTGCTTCATGGCAGGTACCCCCGAGGGACACGTCGAAAGCATCCACGAGGAAGAAGCTACCCCAATGAACGACCTCGACGATGAGGTCGGGGGGGGGGGATATAGGGGCCCCGCCTCGCCTGTGGGTGGAGCAGCTGAAGGCCCGACACTAAGAGCTCGAGGAAGCGTGACTCCAGCTCGAGCAGGAACGCTCGAAGCTTGATTGAGAGATCGAGCGCCACGAAGACGGTGGGCGTACATGCGACATGGCCCGCGACGTGACCAGAGGATCATCGATGATGATGAAGCACTCCTGCACTTCGCCCGGGTGAGCCAAAACATCGCCGCTGTGGCGGCCTTGCTCTAGGGGCTTTCGGGGCCCACGATGCCCGAGGATCGTCAGGCCCATCGCGAGATTCGCAAGCTACTCGACCGTGCAACAGCACAGCAAGCCAAAAGCTCGTTGTCTCGACGACACGAGCTCAATGTCAGCCAGCGCGCGCCCTCGGAGCGACCCGACAAGGACGCATCAGTCCACTAGGCGCCACAAGGCGGCAGGCTACGCACCGCGGTCCTAGTAAATGAGCGTCTTGGTCGCAACCGTGACGCGCGTGACACCCTCGACATCCGCAGGCGTACCCGTGGCGATGCGACGTAGGGAGCTTGCCGTGACTACCACCCTCGTTATGGCAGACGCTACGACAGTGGCGAGGACCGAAGCCCGAGCCTCGGCCTACCAGGACCTCAGGCCTTCGGTCAACACATCCTCAACGCCGCCTTCCCGCCACTGTACCGACCACCAACCAACATCCCAAAATACTCCAGGGAAACGAACCCTGGACTATGTGTCACACCCCAAAATTTCTGATTTTGGGTTGTGCTTAGAAAACAATAAATAAAATAAATGATTTCAGTGTTGATATAAAATTTTCCAAGATTAGTTTAAGATAGTGCAAATTTAGTTATAGAAAAATGTGAACTTTCAATCTTTTCCAAATTAATTTGATGGGTTTTGCTTAATGTGATGTTTGCTTGTTGCATGATTTTGTGTGGTGAGTGAGAAATGTTTTAAAAACACGTTTAGTAAGTCGTTTATCCTTCTCTGGCATGTCTCTATTTTTTAATCAAATACCTGCTCTCTCGATCTTAATCTTTTCATTTGGAGATTCCTAAGATCCTTTTTCTTGTGCTCGAAATCACTTCTTTGAGTTAATAATCCATCGGCCTATCTCTAAAATCTTTCTGAGAATTTTTTTCTGGCTTTTTTTGGAACCTTTTTCTATTTTTCTGTGAGCATAATCTAATTTTTAGATGCTCCAAAATATCCTTTCATGTGCTCCAAATATTTATTTGGGTTCCTTATGTTCCATAATGTCTCTGAGAATTTTCTCCAAATTTTTAGAGCTTTCGGAATATTTTTCACGGCTTAAATATCAATTCTGGACTTTTCTGAAATTATTTTATCCATAAAATTAATTAATTTCGAAAATAATAAATCTCTCATTTTTTCCAACGCTTAAAGCACATGTGCAATAATCTTAATAAATTCTAAAGGCCCATGCATTTATTTACTAATGAGCTTTAATGTTTATTTAGGCCCATTAGTGTATGTGGAGGGTGCAACATCAATTAGTACCATATTGCTAGTTGATGTAGATGTGGGGAGTTTTTCTTCCTATAAATCTGTACCAACCTCTTGGGCAAAGCACACCAAAACTACTGTAAGGGGAGTCCCTAGTTTGAGAAATCCCTCGTGTAGTAAATTAGATTTTTCTCCTCCTTCTCTCGCCGTCGTCGTTGCCACCGCGCTGCCCAGCCTAGCCATCCTCTCCTCGGCAACAAGTAAGGCCGCCTGCCATGTTCTTGCCGATCTCCAACGTGGCTGCGTCCGATCAAGTCTTTGTTCCCGACAATCTGCTATTTGC